CCTCTGTGCTCAGGTAGTTCCTGGCCCCAGCTGGGAGGAAACTTTCTGGGTGGTCACCCTCATCTTTACATGGTTAGTTCCTTAAGTCATCATTTCATTATACAGTAGGATATCCTCCACACACTTTTTGGATTGATGTAACATAGTCTACACTCTTAGTTCTTAAAGTATTCACAATATTAAGTCATTTTTAGATCTTCTGACAATCTTTGTATCTGTCTTCCTTGCAGCTTCTCCCTGTTTGGTGTGTGCCTGATGGCCTTCCATCAGGCTCAGTATATACTGAATGAGTTCTCCTCACACAGCATCAGAAGCAACCACAACTGTGTCCTGTCCCGGGACAGCAGCTCCGTCAGCAATATAATACCCAATGGAGTAAAGTATGTCTGGTGTTCTTTTCAGGAACTAGACTGTTTACACTTTGAACATATTTAAATACTGCAAGCGAATTGTGTTTTGGTGTTAAACCACTTAAATGTGTCTCTTGGTGTCTTGTTTGAGCAGTAAAACAAAGGGAAGTTGTAAGAGCTATGTGGACAGCGGTCACACCTCTGACAAGGGTAAGGGGCGTGGCTCTCCAGCTTTAGCCAGCAGCCCCGCCCCACATCCTCAGTCTTCAAAGAAAAGCTCCTCAACTGCCCAATCCCAGCCGCAGAAGAAACACAAGGTTTCACTCTATTACACCAAATATAAGTCCAGCTCATCCACAGCAGGAGTTGGGGGTGTGACAATGGATGAAGAGCATGAAGATTTGACACAGGATGCTCCTCTGACCCCAGACCTCGATATCTGCAACAACAATGAACCAGCTTTCATCAGTGAGCTGGATAAAAAGATGTCCACAGACTTTAAAGACGACCCCCACAGCACTGTAGAAGATGGAGTGCCAGCAGCAGTTATGTTTCCTGTGGAAATGCCTGCTGGTTTTCCAGATAATGTCACAGTGGGTCCGGGACCTAGACCAGGCCTGTTAGTGTGCAGTCCTGTAGAGAAGAGGTGCCCTGAGCAACATGCAGAGAAGATAGACTCTGACAAAAGGGACAATTCTGAAATGGAGGTAAGGATGGTGCTGAAATTTACCATGCTACTACTAATTTAATAAAATTCATTGATTTTAACCTTTGTAGGAGTGCGACCCTCGTTTAGGATGCAATGATTTCACATCCCCCTGACAAGAACATCATAGTTTAGGAGTGCATATTATCACAGTCAGCAATTTAAATGTTTAATTTATGAGGGTACATGTTCATACTTTAAACTGGCTGCTGTTTGTTGTTGTGTTCTGTTTCTTCAGCAAGTGTTTGATTAATTATTCTCTCCATTACTGTTGGTTTTGTTGCACATATCAAGTGTTGACGTCTGTGTAAAATGTGACCTGGTGTCTGTGTGAGGCAGGGAGGGAGGGGCCCTCACACAGACAGCAGAGAAGCTGAGCTTACAGTCGGGTTTACTTTTGTTGTTGTCATTTATCTTAAAATGTCCCTGAAACGCTGCAATCTCTGCCGCCTAACTAGCAGCTCAGCCAGCATAAGGTTAATGTAATGCTGCTATTAATTGGTATCAGTGGGACAAATTTACGGGTACTAGAGGATGGTATCGGACCCGATACTGGTATTGGCATTGGTGCATCCCTAGTTCCTATGAAAAAGTAACCATCTTCGTTTTTTTTTTTCTACTCCAGCTGCGAGAAGATAGCAAAGGCCAGAAGAAGAAAGCACAAAGCACAGAGAGAGGC